AAGTAAGCTACCTGAGATCTATCTAGATATATAGCTTGCAGTAACTCAGATGCATGATCAAAGGCTAACCAGCCATGCCAGTTTGCTCTATGGGATTTCTGTGATATTGCTCCACCTGGTACCCTATTCCAAACCTACTCCTTATAACCAGTAAAATTCTCCTTTGTACCTAGCATGGGAGACTTATTGGGAATGGGTCTAGATTATGCCTTGGGGTCCCCTTGGTTTGGCTGACGAAGGGAGACCACTATTTGTGCTTTGGACTAAGGGAAGCACCCCAAGTTCTTGCAGTGGGTCAAGTACCCTCAAGGACTACTAGGCCTGTGTTTCCCAGGGGGCCCAGAGCCAAGATCACTCTAGACCCTGGGTGGTGGCAGTGTTACCCCCAGGCTAGCGGGTGTGCTCCAGGAAGGGGGTCAGCCAGACATGAGGTGCCTCCAGGTAGGCACTCGGAGCCTGGAAGGTGGTCAGGTGCAGTGAGGTGGGTGGCTCAGCGCAGGAGCACCCCCTACTGGCCCGCCACAGGCTATGTTAGAAATGTACTGATACTAACATGAAACCCTAGAAAATATGCCCAGCTTTATTATACTTTTTCCATTAGACTTTCAAAACTGTGGGGGAGATGAAGAAAGAAATACATCCTACTGATGAGTTATCTGCTTGCCACCTGTTATTTAATTTTGTGGGGGAAGCAGAGTCTTTGAAAAAGCTAGAGTAGGCCAGGTAGAACAGAAGATTTCATGAGATGTTCCTCCTTGGAGCTGCCGTTTTCTCCTCCACAAGACTTCTGTGCATCCCAAAGGTCACATGGAGACAAAAGGGAAATGGCCAGAAACAGTGAGAGGAGCTGGGCAACAGCTAGACTTAAAATATATGTCTTCTTTCTATAGCAAGTACATATCTCAAAAAAAAGGAGGTCTAGTCTGGGACATCATACATTGCCTTCTTGTGCTTTGTGATGCTCTTTAGTGTAGGCACAGGATGCATGCTAGTAGCCACGGGCACCAGGACAGTGAGATGGCCATATTGCTCTTGCTAAAATTTTGGCTCTAGAAAGGTCGTGCTTGGGGAGCATCATCTCATACCATCCTGGGAGATCTGTGGCCAGGGTTTCTTATAGACTCTTGGCCTCTGCTTATTTTCCTGACCTGGCTCTGGACTTGCAGGCATTGGTCAGAAAGGGAATGTAGCTCAACTACCAGCTCCTCCCATTGTTTCTGGCCACTTCCTTTTTGCCTGCTACTGTAAAACCACTCTGCTTGTGGATTATTAGGTATTTTTTAATGTGTTATTATGCAAGAGGGGAATGTATGGTCCAAGATGAATGAAATGTACCAGTTTCTAAGAAAACCCTAAATCCTGCCTGTGTAGGAACCTTTCTCACCTCACAATCTGTCCCACAAAAAATGTTTCTAGATGTTCTGATACACAACTGGAATAATTTATTGCCATTTTCCCTGCTTGGAAAGCATGTTCACATTAAAAAAATGCTGAAGATTGGGAATTTTTTAAAACAGTGCCTCAAAGCTCCCCAGATGCTGGCTGACTCAGTTAGCTTTATTTTAATAAGAATGAAATAACTATAAACGCACAATTAGCGTGTTACGATATATGATCTTGCAACTGAGAGGGCCAGCAGCTTTCCTTCAGGTGGTAATGCTGGTCTTCAGAAAGCTGCTGGACTGGGGGAACGGTGGATGGAGTGGATACTCATTAGGGGACCATCTGCTGTCACATTCCCAGAGGCCAGCAACTAAATCCTTTCTGTCACGGACTGTTTACATTTGTGCAACAACATGAGCAAAATGCCTTCGTATATATATTTATGTTATGAGGTAAAGAGGTTGTGGAACATATGCTTTGCAATTAGCTGCCTTATTTCTTCCATTTCATGTAAAAGGGAAGAAGTAACCCTCAAACCTCAATGAGTTGTGGCTGGGACCTAGGCATACACACAGCATGACTCCAGATCTAAGGAGTTCAAAAGGGAGTGTTATGTTCCTTTGCGCCTGTTTCTCTCAGTCCCTTTTCTCCAACCCACAAAAATCTCACTGGCTGCATCTTGTCTGTGGCTAAAGGTGTATGCCCCACTTCTTAAAAAGTTTTTGCCATGTTTAGACCTGGCTAAATTTTTCTACAGACTATTAACAGCAATGGAAAGGAAATGTTCTATAGGAATTGTGCACCTTATTCTCCTAGGCCAGGGCAGGTCAGTCCCAAGGCCGTTGTAATCGTGTCACTTTTTAGATGCTGTAACAACCCTCCTCCACTCTGCTGTGTGTTTGGCTAGCTTTTTGCACTCTGTCAGTTGAAGCCCTGTCCAGTCCTTAATATTGGTTCTCTAGCTCATCTAGGGTCTACCTCTTTGT